TTTGGGGACGCGAGAAGAAGCAGCGGGCCCTGATCGGTGTCACGTTGACACTCGGAAAGCAGTTCACGTCAGCTTCTTCTACTGACTCCGTCGATGACAGCACTGTGCACTACGGCACGCTCAGCAAGGCGATACAAGCGCGCTTTAAAGATGATTCCATGGCATGGATGTCAACCGTCGCTCTATCGAATGCCGTCTCTCAATGCGTCCGCGATGTCGCAGGCTCGACAGACGTATACGCGATCGAAACCGACGTCTGTTACCTGAAAGGCAGTATGTTTGGCGAAGGCGCTGGACACATCACCTCGCGCGTCGAAGGGTCTGGCACCAGCTCGAACGTACTGTACCTGCGCAACGTCCGCATCCCGTGCCTGATTGGCGTCAACTCCAATGAGAGGCTGCAGAAACAGCCCGTGGTCCTCAATGTCTGGGTTGACAACATGGCTGACTCTCGTGTGGAGGGATACCCTCAGCTAGAAACTTTCTTATTCGAGGTATGCACAGCACAATGTATACGTACACACCGACTGACCAGCGTAGTTGATATCTGGCTCTACATTCCAAACGATCGAGAGCCTGCTTGCGTGGTTGGTCGACGAGCTCAGACAAAGATTCTTCACAGAAGAGGCGGACCAGAACGCGTGGATCAAGCTGAGAATTAGCAAGCCCCATGCGGTACCCTTTGCAGATGCGCCAGCCGTCGAGATAACACGACCCGTACGGTCGAGCTAGGGTGGGGTGGTGTCACTAGCAAACTGCCGCAGCGAGTCAAAGCGTCGCCGTGACTGTGGAAACGTCTGCAGGTTTTCTCGGACGCCAGCCACGGGCACAGCTAACGATGTCTGTTCCTGACTTGTGCTAGGGGAGGTACGTTAGCGCAACCGGTACCGATTCAGTCTCCACTTCCATAGCTGTCCCTGTCTTACAGCCTGACGGCGTGAAGTCGGGAACCGCCAAGCGTCTAAGCTTGTAGAAGCTTCTGCCATTTCGGTTCCTGGTATCGCGAGTTCCTCCAGGCTGGGCCATTGGTACACCTAAATGGTATTCTTGTTGTTGGGCATAATGCGATCAATGGCCCTTGTCGGAATTCGAGAAATAGTCTCAGTAAATTCCCGCAAAGTTTCAACACGGGCATGTGTAGTGGAGGTGGGCGTTCTTGAGGCTGTTGTCGTAGCATGGGCATCGTTGTTGCGTGAATACACCGACTTAGTAGCAGAAGATCCCCCACGTGGTCCGAGCGATGCAGACGTGTACCTGCGCCACTGCCACTTTCCACTTCTGCAGCCACTATCTTTCATCCCAAGTCTCTTCCGCGATATGCAGATGCAAAAGACCCTTGATCACCCGAAACCCCGCTGCATTCGCCTCCGCGTTGCATCGCGCAGTCGCCACTGTGGAAAAAAATGCAACTTTCCCAGCCGGGGAAGTCTGTTGGGGAGCAAGTCGGAAGAGCGGTCTCTGCGCGACGTCAAGCTGACTGCAGCCCCCTGCTAGCGCGGCGGCCAGATGAGGGGCTTTTCAATTTATCGACATAGCTCTCCGAAAAGTTATTCAACAATTGTGCATCGTGAGGTCGAGCAGATAGGCGGCCGCGCAGCCATTCGATAGTCACTGTTGGCTCGGGCGGACGCGGGATGGTGTGAGGACTTGGAAGTGTAACTGTTATGAAGCCACGATACAGTAACGTGGTCAGATCTGAGTGAGAGCTGAGTGAGAAGCTGGATGAAACAGCTCGGGGGCTGTATTCTGATACCAGAATAGCTGGAGCGAAAATAGCTACTAGCCCAAGCCATTGTACAATGGGTGTAATGGCTGCATTGATGGTGTGAAAGCGAGTATCAAAACTTCGTCGTGGGCAGGCACTATTGGTGGCGTGGCCGTTGCCATGCAGAGATGCTGCGGTCGTAACTGCCCTTCTAGTACTTGAGCGGCAATGACCTGCATGTATAAAAGGCAAATTCACACCGTCTCTTCACCATCCCCATCAAACCCCGAGCCTGTTCTCGTTACCAGGCCATAGCTTGTTCTCGACTTGCCCCACGTTCAACGCCAAGCGCGACCCATTGCCTTTAAGGAGACCAGCTCCCCAACACTTGTTGTTCCCTACACCACTCTCTCCTCACGGAACAACCTCTTTTCTCCTCAAACATACACAATGGCGTCTCGCGCGATTCCTTCTCACTTGAAGCCCTCCGCTGCTGAGGGCGGCGAGGGTGGCTTCTCATCCCAACGCCATCACGGCAAGTCGCAGTCCCACGTGGTAAGTACTCTTTCTCTCTGTTTCTGCAGTTGTCCGGCGTGCGTCTTGCTTTTTCCAGCGCTGCTTGCTTGCATTGGTTTTGTTGCTGCACAGCGGACGCAGCTATCCTCACCGCTTCCCGTTGTCTCGACATGGGTATGGTGGGGACCGAGGAGAGCTGGCATTGAGCGGCCACGATTGCTGGTCGATCGCAATACGCCGTTCGGCCAGACGTCAAGGCGATTTCCTACGAGCGGAGTAGGCGATCATCTGAGTTGGTGTTCGCTGCCACTCTCGAGTATTGGCCCCGCATTCGCATCGCCTACTCCCCGCGGGAGTGATGTCGTGGTGACAACACGTACCGTCTCAACAACTCCAACACCTCGAATTCGATTTCAATCAACTAACAACGACTTTGCAGGCTTTCGAAAACACATCCACCAATGTCGCCGCCTCGCAAATGCGCAACGCGCTCAACAAGCTCGCCGACACCGTCACAGACCCTGCTGAGAAGAAGGTCAGTCGCAATCCTTCTATACCCCTCCATCTTCATCTGCCACCTATACATTTCGATATGCTTGCGTGGGTCAATCTTGCGACTACAAGCTGTGAACATGTTTGGAGGGGCATTTGGAGGGTACGTCATTCTGAGCGTATACTGACCCACTACAGTACTTCGAGACTGAGATGGACAACTTCTTCGCTCTGTTCCGCCGATACCTCAACGATAAGGCCAAGGGCACTGCCATTGACTGGAACCGCATCGCTCCCCCGAAGGCCGAGCAGGTCGTCAGCTACGATGAGCTGGCCAACACCGAGGCTGTCGAATACCTGAACAAGTTGGCGGTTGTCAAGCTCAACGGTGGTCTCGGTACCTCCATGGGTTGCGTTGGCCCCAAGTCCGTCATCGAGGTCCGTGATGGCATGTCCTTCTTGGACCTGTCAGTACGACAGATCGAGTACCTCAACCGCACATACGATGTCAACGTGCCGTTCGTACTGATGAACTCGTTCAACACCGACACCGACACTGCCAGCATCATCAAGAAGTACGAGGGCCACAACATCGACATCCTCACCTTCAACCAGTCAAGATACCCCCGTATCCTCAAGGACTCGCTCCTGCCCGCTCCCAAGGAGAACAAGTCCGACATCGCCAACTGGTATCCCCCTGGTCACGGTGACGTTTTCGAGTCTCTCTACAACACCGGCATGATTGACAAGCTCATGGACCGTGGTATCGAGTACATCTTCCTTTCCAACGCCGACAACTTGGGTGCCGTTGTCGATCTCCGCATTCTCCAGCACATGGTCGACTCCCAGGCCGAGTACATCATGGAGCTGACAGACAAGACCAAGGCTGATGTCAAGGGTGGAACCATCATTGACTACGAGGGCTCTGTCCGTCTGCTTGAAATCGCCCAGGTTCCCAAGGAGCACGTCAACGAGTTCAAGTCGATCAAGAAGTTCAAGTACTTCAACACCAACAACATCTGGATGAACCTCGCCGCCATCAAGCGCGTTGTTGAGGCCAACGAGCTTGCCATGGAGATCATCCCCAACGGCAAGTCCATCCCTGCCGACAAGAAGGGCGAGGCCGACATCTCGGTTCTCCAGCTCGAGACCGCTGTCGGTGCCGCCATCAAGCACTTCAAGAACGCGCACGGTGTCAACGTTCCCCGGAAGCGTTTCTTGCCCGTCAAGACCTGCTCTGACCTGATGCTGGTCAAGTCGGATCTGTACACACTGCAGCACGGCCAGCTGGTGATTGACCCCAACCGATTCGGCCCTGCTCCCTTGATCAAGCTCGGCAGCGACTTCAAGAAGGTTTCCAGCTTCCAGGCCCGCATTCCCTCCATTCCCAAGATTGTCGAGCTTGATCATCTGACCATCACCGGTCCCGTCAACCTTGGCCGTGGTGTCACCCTCAAGGGCACTGTCATCATTGTTGCGACCGAGGGCTCCACCATCGACATTCCCCCGGGTTCCATCCTCGAGAACGTCGTCGTCCAGGGTTCGCTCAGGCTGCTCGAGCACTAGAGTGGTTGTCGACATTTTCTTCACAGTTCTTATAGATTTTTTGAGGATACAGGTCTTCTTTAGCCACTGGTAACGAGGGATGACTGCATTGCAACGTACTTGAGCAAAAGACTCAGGCGGTAATGGGGCGTAATAGTCACGCATGTCCATGATTCACGTATCATCATAGACAAAATGCATCTTGAATACAATCCATAATGATCCATTCGTTGTTGCTCGAGTTCACCACACGCTGTGTTTGAAGCTAGTAAGATGTGGTTAGTAGTAAGCTAATCTCCAGTATGGAGAAGATCCATGTCAACCCAAAGAACTGACCCATCTGCAGCTTATTACTTCCAAGAAATGGTGCCTGATTGCGGCCTCACGCCATCTCAGCCTTGCGGCCCTACCGCGGTGATGTCAGAATGTCACCAGCCACGCAGCCAACCCAACCCGCGAACAACAACCCCCACCAATCTCCCGGTTCCTGCGCAGTGCAGAGGCGCAGTCGGCCAGTCACCTGTATCTTACATAGCGATGATGCCTGCTGATAGCGGCGAACAGCACTTGATATAAGCAGCCGTGGCTTCCTGACGCCGTTTTGTCGCGTTCCACACGCCTGCATCCTCGCGTCGCACGCAGCGGGGTTGATCGCAACCTGACGAGCATCAGCTCCGAGCATCGAGCCGAAGATTTGCATGCCTGAGCCCATTAATAGCGATTGCTCCCACCTATCGACAGAATGTCACCCGAACCTATGCCACATAACGAGTTCCAGGACGAACGCGCCGCGAACCTAGCGCAAGCGGATGCGGCGCATCGCGAAGCATACGATTTCTGGGGTTACCTTTTCAAGGAAGATAAATGCGGGACCCCGTTGCTGGATCGCCTGTTGAAGGGCATCGCCTACGTCATTGTGAGTCGAGTGTAGCTTTTAGATGTCCACTGGGAGACCTCAAGCTAATGCGCCACGGTAGAGCCAGAAGTTCGGATCAAGCGACTCGCCTGATCTTACGCCTTCGCAAATCGCAGCCTGGTATCGCAGTGTTGGGGGCGACTACGACGTACTATTCACAGACACACCACCTTCATCCGTCGCGTTCATATATCGGTCACTCGGCGCATTCCACAGCCTGCAACCAGCACCAGACGACGACGGCTACTCGAGTCCTACCATACCTGCGCTGAAGAAGGACGGCTTTGTGACATGGCAGACAATACAGTTGCTGCTAGGGCCAGAAGAGCATGTGCCTTTCCTACAGAAGGCGGTGGAGCTGGATGACATACCCGATCTGGAAACGGGGGGCACCTTCCCTAAAATCCTACCCAAGGAGTGCTTCCCAGAGAAACCGGATGATGCGATGGAGACGTGGTATCAGAGCGTTGCCGCCAGGCTTAAGAAGGAGGCGGAAGAGGAGCTCAATGGGGGCAGTGCGGCTGAGGAGCCAAAACCGCGTACTTCGACGGACAGCGAGGGAAATTCAGCCGATGACAAGTCCGGCGCGTACCGCTACTTTGAAGACCCGCTCTATCGGAATGGAAGACCGCGGCCGACCTTCATGCGCCATGTCTCGAAGCAATCTCCAAGGCCCGCAGAGGACCATGGAAGGCCGGGGGCTATTATCTCAAGGGTGAGACACATGCTGAATCCTCTGAGTACAAGAATCGCCGGAAAGAGAATTATTCCAGACCGCACCGGGTACGGAAGCGATGGGTACTCAGATGAAGATGCCACACCCATTGCGCCTATCCCTCAACCAGGTCCCCGATATTCCGCCCACAAGCGTCCACACCCACCGCGACGTGAATCTTCGTTATCAACAACAGACTCCGACTCAGATCCAGATCGCCCGTCTCCTCGGCGGCAAAATCCTGTACTGCGTACCCATCGATCTCACGAGCCGCCCATATCGCAGCCGGGCTATTTTCCCGCCTACAATGAGGCGCGCCGTTACTCAAATCAACACGACCCAGTCCGAGTATACGAAGGAAATTCAACGGCAACATCTCCCCAACACGTATATGTACCAACTCAATCCCCACTCTTCGCGACCCAAGTCGCGCAAGCCCAGCGAGAAGCACAGAAACAGCAATACTACCTCTCACGACCCGTCATGCCGCCACGCACGAGTTATAGACCCGTTCCATCTAGCAGCGTGCGGTGGGGTCCCCAGACTGTGCATCCTGTAAGTCCACCTCGAGATGCTGAACCACCATACATCCGTGAGCGGGAACGAGAACGTGATCGCGATAGGGAGAGACACCATCGCGACCGCGACCCGTACGCCATGGGAAGCGGTAGCAGCCGCTCCCACCGCCGCCACTCGGAAGACGTCGAATACCCGCGCGAGCGTACCCGCGACCGTGATTCAGCCCGGACACGCAGTCATGATAGAGTCAAAGACGAATGGGACGATCGCCATGATCGAAGTCGCGATCGAGACCGCGACCGCGACCGTGACCGAGACAGAGACAGACATAGAGACCGCGACAAGAGAAACTCCAGCTACGAGGACAGAGACAGAGACAGAGACGACAGTCGCGAAAGAGATCGAGAACGAGACAGAGACCGGGTGCGAGATCCCCGCGTGCATAGGTATGTGTCTGGGGTGCAGGACGGTGTGTCTGGCCGGAAATATCCTGTCGCTTAAGCTTTTTGTTGTGGGATTTCATTTACTAAGATCTTTTGTTGCAGCAGGAGTCAGAGTGTTAGGGGCCAGTTCATGAGGCTGCTTAAAGAATTTTGAGCAGGAACAGTTTTATCAAGTGGGATGTATTGGTGGGTTCTCGAAGGCTTTGTTCGACCCATCGGCTATGCCGTGTGGGTGGTGATGGTGGGGTCTATGGAGTTGGGTGGATTGGTCTGGATGATCTGTGGCGTAGTGGGCCGGGTATGTTCAGTTCAGCTCGCAAAGAGCTTGCACGATGCAACACTGACGATGCACGTATGGTGACACCGTAACGCTAGTAATACATAGACTTGGTATCGAATTCAATACATTGTGTGACACACGGTTTGAGACCCGTGGCTGCACCTGCATATGAGGTGCAGGCTTCACGATTGTTTTTTTTTCTATGCAGGTATTGCAGTAGTCTTCGCTCTGACAAGTTGCGGTAAGAACAGAGACACCTTTTCAGTTCCTTCTTTGTGCAAGGTGGAGGGAAAGTGTTCGGAGACGATGGGGCGGTGTAACAGTTACTTGTGGTGCACGGCCCAGGTACGCGAGGAGACCTCGGGAGGTGGTGGAGGGCATTCACGTGCCAGATGTCCAAATTAGAAAACAACCTTGGACTAGCGACGTTGCCTGCTATAACGTGTTATTGTAGGGATACCGTATACAAGTAGGAACCTGCAGTGACATCATAATCTTCAATTTACATGTGTTGTCTTTGTGTAACCTACAGAGACCTGCCGAGTTTCTTACCTGTATGGGGTGTAACGGTTGCTCAAGATAGTGCGGAGGTGTGCGTTTGGCACCAACTAGCTGTGCGGGATGGACCCTGAGCTACTGATTAGCCAAATCAATGGGAACGCCATGCGAGCCCTGCAGAAGGATAGTGTCACGATAGACGGGAGCGTAGACGGGGTTGTTGCAATCGACGCGTGAATGGCTGACGGCAGTAGATTAATGGAAAAACATCGGAATGGTTCGTGTCGCTGATTACGCGTGGATCGCTATGTCATAAGCGTGGCTGTGCAGGGGAGCTCGGGGATCGCCGTGAGGGATGCTAGTCATCGCTCGACGCAGCTGCTAACCAACACCTCTCGCGAGCTCCTGATTGCGAGTAGGACCGCGTGCGATTCAATTCTTCATCAATTTCTCATGAACCCTGAACTATAGTCCTTCCTTCGGCCTTTCCTTTGTTTTTTTCTCCCGTTCTCACCGGGAACCAGGAATTACTTCGGCGAGTTAGTGCCAGCCATCCGCGTACAGCTGCAGTATCGCTAAAGCATAGCTGCCGCCGTCTACCAAGGAAAGCTAACCAGCCAAACAACAGGTTTCCAGAACCCCAACACCTCCCAGCCGCTCGCTCTATCTTCTACGCTCACCTTCCTGGGGTTCCTCACCCAAGTCACGCCCCGCCCTCGACCGCGAGCATTCAATTGCACGCCAGCCATCTTGCAACTGCAGCGCAACGTCAGCGGGTCGGACCTCCGCTCCACATCGCCGACATGGCTACCGCATCGCGCGAATCCGAGCTGAAGCGGCAGGGACTGCTCGACGCCGCCAAAGACCCCAATTCCTCCATCACGGCGAACCAGGCGGAGAAATCCCTCGTCGATCAGGCGCAGGCGGGCGGCAGTGTTGCCTTCCAATTCGACCCCGATGCGAGTCCTGAGCAGAAGCGGGCACAGGCACGAACGCGCGTCCCCGCAAACTTCCACCACGAGCGCAACAAGAACGCGACGGCCCTCGTATCCGATGCCGACGACAACGGCCCGGGCGAATACGACCTCCCCTCGCCTACCAAAGCGGGCGCCATAGAGACACCCGAGGAAGCCAAAGCCAATGGCCACGCGCCCGAGCAACTCGACGACGATGCGCGGTGGGATCGCGTCGGATGGGCGCCGCGATTCGGCATGCCAGGCTCCGAGAACAAGGAGGAGGAAGAAGCCTCCCTGGCCGATCACCAGACATGGCTGGAGGGCAGGATAGAGGACAAGTTCTTCGGCGACTGGTACCACAACACGGGCATCATCATCTTTGCGTGCTTGAGCTCGTGGGTCGTCGGTATTCTCGGCGGTGGCCTGGGCTGGATCATGATCTTCATGGCCGTCTGCGGCACCTACTACCGCACCTCGATCCGTCGCGTGCGCCGCAATGCGCGCGACGACCTCAACCGCGAGATGGCCAAGAACAAGCTGGAGACGGACACGGAGAGCTTGGAGTGGATCAACAGCTTCCTCGTCAAGTTCTGGCCCATATACGCGCCTGTCCTGTGTGACACCATTGTGGGCACCGTGGACCAGGTTCTCTCGACCTCGACCCCGGCGTTTTTGGACAGTCTGAAGATGAAGACTTTCGTCCTGGGAACGAAGCCCCCGCGACTGGAGCATGTAAAGACATACCCGAAGACGCAGGACGATATTGTTCTTATGGACTGGAAGTTTAGCTTTACGCCCAACGACGTAGCTGATCTTACCGCGAGGCAGATCAAGAACAAGATTAACCCGAAGATCGTCCTGGAGATCCGCATCGGAAAGGGCCTTGTCAGCAAGGGTCTGGATGTTATCGTAGAAGACATGGCCTTTTCCGGTCTGATGCGCCTGAAGTTCAAGCTACAGCTGCCGTTCCCTCACATCGAGAAGGTCGAGATGTCTTTCTTGGAGCGCCCGACCATCGACTACGTCTGCAAGCCCTTGGGTGGAGAGACCTTTGGTTTCGACATCAACTTCATCCCCGGACTGGAGACTTTCATCATGGAGCAAATCCATGCCAACTTGGGCCCGATGATGTACGACCCCAATGTGTTCCCTATCGAAATCGCCAAGATGCTTGCGGGCAACCCTGTCGATCAAGCCATCGGTGTTCTGCAAGTCCACTTCCACGGTGCTCAAGGCCTCAAGAACCCCGACAAGTTCTCTGGTACTCCTGATCCCTATGCCACGGTCTCCATCAACAACCGCAACGTGCTTGCACGTACCAAGACGGTGCATGAGAGTGCCAATCCTCGCTGGAATGAGACTGTCAACATCATCGTAACTTCGCTGAAGGATTCGCTTACTATCAATCTCTTCGATTACAACGACATTCGCAAGGACAAGGAGCTCGGTACCGCTACCTTTGCGTTAGAACAGCTAGAGGAGGACCCTGACCACGAGAACATGCAACTAGAGGTCATGTCAGGAGGTCGCGCCCGTGGTCTCGTGACAGCGGATGTACGATTCTTCCCTGTACTTGAAGGCACCACGCTGGAAGACGGTACCAAGGAGCCCCCACCAGAGTCGCGCACGGGTATTTGCAAGTTCACTGTTGAGCAGGCCAAGGATATGGACGGTAGCAAGAGCATGATTGGGCAGCTTAGCCCATACGCCGTCCTCCTCCTCAACGGCCATGAGATTCACAAGTCCCGGGTCATGAAGAGGACAAACCAACCTATCTGGCCAGACGCAACAAAGGAAATGCTCATCACCGACCGCAAGAAGGCTAAGCTGGGTCTAGTCATCAAGGACGACCGCGACCTCGCAGCTGACCCCATTCTGGGTACCTACCAAATCACGATGGACGACATGCTTGAACTCATGGCCAAGGGTCATGAGTGGTACAACCTCGCAGGTACATCGAGCGGCCGCGTGAAGATGAAGCTTGATTGGAAGCCCGTTGCTCTAAAGGGTGCTGTCTCTTCCAGTGGTTATCTTACTCCCATCGGTGTGATGCGACTGCACTTCCAGAGCGCGCGCGGACTTCGTAACCTCGAAGCCCTGGGTAAGTCGGATCCGTACGTCCGTGTGCTACTCTCTGGTATTGAGAAGGGCCGGACTGTGGTTTTCAAGAACAATCTCGACCCTGACTGGGATGAGGTTGTCTATGTCCCTGTCCACACCGTCCGCGAGAAGCTTACACTGGAGGTCATGGACGAGGAGAATCTGGGCAAGGATCGTCCCCTAGGACATATCGAGCTTTCGGCTGGCGACTATATTCAACAAAACGAGAATGGCGAGTACCTCGAACATGAACAGAAGCAGCCTACCGCAGGAGCTCTCCGATTGGCTGGTTCTTCTCAGCCTAAGGGTACTCTCAACTACACCTGCTCTTTCTACCCCACATACCCCACTTGGGACCCCGAAGAGGACGAGGAAGAAGAGGATGAGACGAAATCTAACGGCGCCGCCCGGCCTGTGTCCAACGGATCTAAACTCAGCCACCAACGTGTTGTATCCAACGCTTCTACCATCGCCAGGTCGGAGACTGCAGGTACCATCTCATCGCTCAAGTCCAACGAGAAGGACATGGCCAAGGAACTTGAGAAGAATGAGCTCCAGCAAGCAGAGTCGATTCCTGAAAAGCCGAAGATCGAGAAGCTGAAACTTACTGCGGACGATCTGCAGCAGTATGGTAGGTCGCGTGCCGACTATGAGGATACAGTGGAGTTTGGCTTGTTCAGTTGGTTCACCCTGACCTGCAACCTGCCCCCGTATTCTTATATTATATTTACGAGTCTTGGCTAACGTGATGTAGAATCTGGTCTGCTTGTGTTCAAGCTCATTGAAGGTGAATTCGCAAGGACTGGTGGCCACGTCGATGTTATTATGGATGACATGGCGTATGCCAGCTATTCTAGCACGAAGATCCGCAGCAACAAGATGACTTTCAACGATGGTGGGTTGTGTGAAGTCCTTCACGATGTACCAAGCTAACGGTATGCAGTTGGCGACACGATGATCCGCGAGCTCGACTTTTCCAAGATTACCCTCCGAATTATCGAGCACATCGACAACGACGGTGACGATCATGGAGATCACGTCATTGCTAAGCTGACAGGAAACACGATTGATACGCTACGAAGGTCTCTGCACACGCCTACTCAGTTCACGCTCAAGGACAAGAACGGACGCGATAACAAGATCACGGTCATGCTTAAGTACATTCCCGTCAAGATGCGTCTCGATCCCAGCGAATCCTTCAACAACCAGGGTACGCTCCGAGTC